GAATACTTCTCCTGAAGGGGCTATTTCTGGTTGTAATTTAAGGCTGTAGTTTTTGGGCTGCAGTAAGCATTTTTTCTCCTCCCTCATGGGTTTCTCTAATTTCCTTCACAAACCCTTGTCCCCACTCTCCCCCATACAACTGGCCACAGGAAAACACAGGCATGATTGTCCTCAGTAATTCTTAGGCTCTGCCCAAAACCAGAGTGTGTTTAAGTGGATGAGTGGGAATAAATCTTTCCTGAGCATCTTCATCTCATTTTTAATAACAGGAAATATTTTCTCTTGTAGAAGTATTTCCTAACCTGGTCAACTTCCATAGTTTTCTGTCTGGTTTTCCTGCTTAAAGAAGTCTTTGAGTTCCACCTCTCCTGCACCCCTGGATTTAGGGAGATGCACAGTCACCGGATGCATCAGCACATCCCCTGCCCATGTTGACTCCAGCAGAGACACTCCTGGGTGAAACAGCTTTACAGTTTCACTATTTCCTACATTCCTTGTTACTCCCTGTTACCATCAATCCTGCAAGATCCTTCTCTGCTTGCAGTTGAACTTGCACATTGCCCCAGCACTCACCATCCCCTCCTGTGCACCTTCTGTCCTACCCGAGTGTGGACACAGTGTTTAAGCCACCTTCAATGCTACAGACACTGAAGATGGCAAATGGGCACCCACCGGGGAAGACCGAGCTGTATCCCACCTCCGCAGAGGTGGGAGCTTTGTTTCAACCCAACACCCTCCACCTACCTCAAAATTTCTACCACCCAGCCTGCATCTAACCATCCAGCCTGGTACACAGTGCTGTGTACCAAAAACGTGGTAAAAGGATGAGAATAAACAAGTACCTTTGGCTCACAGGAGTGACACAAGAACTTGGTTTATATTTGAAACATACACAGTTAGTTACCTGTTAGGGAAGATTATTACAGACACCCACAAGACCATAATAGCAACCCCTGCTCGCTGGGGCTGCGGAAGAAATGTAATGGATGTGGGAATTAGTGTCAGATTTATTCAGATTTCTCTTTTAAGACCTCTGATGTGCATTTTCAGGTGGGTTCTCCTTTTTCTTCTGACATTTGCAAGGCTGATTTCTTTGTTACCTATCAGCACTGTAACTCGTGCTTTCATTTCCAGCCTTCTGCTGCTGCACATACTAAAAAGAACAACCAGAGGTGGAACGCTTGTCGCTTATCAGCTTTTTATATCCTGCTGGATAATCCTTAACTCAAAACCACACAGTTCCACAGAGCGGCGTGCACTCGACGGCTCCGGCTCCATCCCTCATGCTCCCCATGTACCACCACATCCGTATCCATCCGCAGCTGCAATCCCGCCGCTCCCGTGACCCTTTGCGCAGGAGTCTGGCAGAGTTGCTATGACGACCCTGCTGATGCACCCAGCCTGAACCCAGCGCAGGTCGGTGTCCATAGGGTGGCTTTTGGGGTGGGCCAGACTTGAGGGTGCTTTGCAAACCGAGCACGTGGGCTTCTCCCACCGTCGGCTCCCATCGCTGCTCCAGCACCCTGAGCGTTCCCCACAGAGACACTGCCATGGGGTCGAGGAGTGGCTGGGGATGGCTCGGCTGTGCCGGAGGCTGCCGGCAAAGGGGCTCTGGTGCAGGACAATGCCGTGGTGCGGGGGTCAGCGCGTGGGGCGACCTCATCCGGGGCTGGGTTAGGCAGAGCTGGTGCGGAGGTTGCAGGAGGGGATGCAGTGCGGTGGCAGGCAGGGTGCTGCCCCTTCTATGCAGCCAGGTATATTCTCCATCTTGCTCTTGATTAAGATATAAGATGGAAAAAGGTACAGTTGTAGCTAAAGCACATTGCTCTGGTGTTCTGTGTAAAGACAGGGAAAAAATAGGCTTCCTGTAGGGCTGTGCCAACTGAAGCTGCATTTAACAGAGACCTGAGAAAACTCAGAGCATTGTCTGGAGGAGCACACGGGGCTCTGTAAGATCATCCCCAAGTGCAGCATCAGTGGCAGAGACACACGGGAGCAGCAGCCTCTAGCCGTCAGCATCGAGAGATGCACCCGCTGCTGGGAGGTTGGAGCGACCTTGCACTGACTGTTTTGCTGCCAACCTCCCCACACCCTTGCAGTGGGTGGCTAAAAACATCCAGGGTGACAAATACCAGTTATGTTATCACTTACACAAACCTGGTATCACTGTCATAAACCTGGAAGGGGATTCAGCAAAGTTGGCTCCCACCAACCTGCAACACCTCGGGTGCTGGGTGCGGGCTGTGCCTTGCAGGGCATGGTGGGGTGCTGTGGCTGCCCCTGCAGCCGGGAATCCCCCCTGGGGTGTTTAAATCCTAAGCTTTGAGCTAAGAAAGTGGTCAGATGCAGTGATGGGGCAGTGATGCTCCCATCTGGGGGTAGTGAGGATGTCTCTCTTCACAGCCATGAGCTGCTTGGGGGTCATGGCGCATGTTGGGGTGAGCACATGTAGCTGTAGCTTGGCTCTTCTGCTCCCTCAGCAAAGGGAGGACAGAAATGAGATGGCAACATGCAGCTCTGTGCCCTGCAGACCCCCAACCCTTGGCAAATACTGGCAAGAGCCCCCTTCTCCAGGGGCTGCAGCACCCAAAGATGAAGGAGGAACTTAGCAACTGTGGTGTATCCTGTGTTTGCATTGCAGAAAGACCATCCTCTGCAGCGGGCTGCAACTCCATCATTACGAGGGACAGATCTGACCACAGTGGCATCAGACCATCATAGTCAGGTGGGTGGCATGGCCAGAGGACTCCAGCTGCCAAATCCTCCTCTGCCCTCACAGACACCACCATACCCAAATCATCCACTTCAAGGATTGGCAACATGGTGGTCTTCAACTTCCCCCCTTTTTGAGGTTGGTGGGGGACGTACCTGTGTTGGACAGCTGAAAGAGGAGTGACCACAGGAACCCTTACGCCTCCTTGGGTCTGAGCTCACAATGCAGCACCCAGGCAGGTCTCCCAGTCCCATGGTAAGGAGCCACGTGGGACATGCACTACCCAACCCAGCTGCATTTTAGGGAGGAAGGCTCATCATGGGCACAGAAGTACTTTTCTTTAGCAATGATATCCCTCCAAGTAGCTGTTGAATGACCATTTCCCACAGCTACGTGGAGAACTGAAGATGAACACAAACTATCTTTTCTTAGTTATACCTTCTAGCTTTTATTGCCTAGCAAGGACCCAAACCACGCTCCTTTCCCCAGCACCCACGG